AGTAAATAAAAAAAATCCAATACTTTTTTACTGAACAAATAATAAGAAAAACAGAAGGACATGTACTAGTATTCGACCGTTTGACGCTGATAAGGCAACAAAGGTTCAACTTGCCTATTTTGATGTCGAGGGAGTCAAGTGTCGGGCGCATGTATGCAGCTCTTGTGGTGGTCATGGCTAGGACATCAGCGCCCTTCATTAGCTCTGTCCGAGTGCGAGTTCTTGCGACGTTGTACCTTTGCTGCAGAGGGCCGTAGTCAGCGCGGTCATGCTTGTCGCTGTAGCCGTGAATGAGCTGTGAAACAAAAAAAAACGAAAATTACTTTGGCAAACTATGCTTTATCCGATCTAGTACGGAGCGTGCATTACAGCAATTTACAAGTTCATCGAAACGTTCAGTTACGTCGCATTGGTAGCTCTCAAAGTGTTAGAATGCCACAACTCTGAACATACACGCTTACACTGATAAGCTTACAGCTTACCCAGACAAATAAATCCGGGCACGTACCAGGCAGGTTCCGTGCAACCCCCGGGCAGTCTCCAAGCAACATCCCACACTGGGGCGAAAACGAAAATTTAGGGTCATAAAGGCGATTTCTTCAGAATGAGTTTAGAGTTCAGCCAACTGTGCCATTTTGTTCAGAAAGGACCAAAGCTCAATCTCCTGTACTTGTTAGCCACATTTAGCGCCGCCTTCTATGCAGAAACAGGCCTCAAAGTCAGTAAAATTCATGTACTTTTGCTCAAATTGTGTCGGGGGTCCAAATAATCCAGAATTAACGCTAATTTCGAAAAGATAATGTATTTGAACCACATATCGTTGGAAAGAGGAAGGTCCAAGAAGTCTAAAGACTATCTCGTTTTTGGTCTATTTTCATTTAATATTTAAATCCTGTTAAATTTCGATAAAAATTTGCGTTTTTGCTGTTTTTAGCCCGCCCTTCTGCTTTTAAAAAAGCATTAAAGCGGGCTTATGCAACCGCTCTCGTGTCTGTCTGTCTGTCCGTCCGTCGTCCGTGTAAGAGGAAGGAGATGAGCTAGAGGTCTACAAATTTCAGGGTATCTTAGGGGTCACTTCTGGACAACGAATCGCTTGGTGCAAATCCTGGCAACCAACCCTAAGGGGGTGAAAGGGGGTAACAAAGAAATAGGGGTTGGTCCAAAA